TGTTTGGCCTACATGTAATGTACCCTATGCATGTGCCTGGTGCCCATGGAGGCCAGAAAAGGGTGTTGGATCCCTTAGAACTGCAGTTCTGGACTATTGGAGTCCAACCCAGGTCTTCTGCAAGAGCCACAAGTGCTCTCAACCACTGAGCCATCTCTCCAGTCTTGCAATCAGCCTTTTTTTTTTTTTTTTTTTTTTTTTTTTTTTTTTTTCTGTAGCCTCAGCTGGCCTTGAGTTTGATATGTAGATCGGGCTGGCCTTGAACTCACAGAAATCTGCCTGCCTCTGCCTCTTGAGTGCTCAGATTAAAGGTATGCACCACCATGCCAGGCTTTTAGTTTTTTTGTGTTGGGGATCTGAACTTGGGTCCTCCTACTTGTGTGGAAAGCACTTTAACGACGACTTGAGTCATCTCCCTAGTCCCCACCACCAATAATTTTAAGTTTGCAGAAATTCTCATACAAATGTATGTATAAAGACTTGTCCAGGTATGCTGATGAAATACTTAAAAAAATTTATTATCTTTATTTTATGTATACGAGTGTATTGCCTGCATGTACGTGAGTGCACCTGTGTCGTGCAATGCTGTGGAGGTCAGAAGAGGGCTTTGGATTCCCCTGGAACTGGAGTTAAGGACGGTTCGTAGCCACCATGTGCGTGCTGGGAACGAACCCGGGTCCTCTGCAAGAGCAGTCAGTGCTCTTAACTGCTGAGCCATCTCTCCAGCCCCAGCTTTCTACTCTTATAGAAACAAAATGATTTAATTATGGAAAAGAAAGATCTTTTAATATTTTCCTACTTTTATTTTTCAGCATGTAAGGACGGTGTAGCCACCATGTGCGTGCTGGGAATTGAACCCAAGTCCTCTGCAAGAGCAGTCAGTGCTCTTAACCGCCGAGGCATCTCTCCAGCACCATGAAATACTTTTAAGGTGCTGAGAAACTGGAACCTCTTCTACCAGTAGTTAGGTACATTTCTGTAAGCATGGAATGCCCAAGCTTAAAGCTAACTCCTTTCTTACACCGTTCCCCTGGGTTTGCATTTAAGAATACTAATGCTGGCACACACACATCCTATTTTATGGACTCCCCTCTACTAAAACTTCAGCCAGAGAATTTTTTTTTCCCTTCCAAAAAATTTCACAAGGGCCTAAAGAACAGGAGAGGGGACAGGAGGAAAATATTAGCAATTTGAAAGCTAGAGCCTTGCCCCTAAATGACAGCCTCTCTCCTATCCTGGGAAAAACCAGAGCAGAGGTTTGTTCTCTGGAGAAAATACCTAACAGTTGTGTGTCAAAAGAAAGTGCATGTGTTTTCTAGAAGAATGAGACTTTAACTATAGCTGAGACCTTAGCTACTTCCCCACCCCTCACGCAACTTGATGCTGACCTTTAAGCCTATGCTCTCCAGAAAGGAGCTTGGAGGAATCTGATCTTTAGATCTCAAGATACTTATGTGGGCAGTAGTCAAGTTAGTGACTGAACCAGCTCACGCCTGAGTGAAGCTTCTGCCACAAGCCTACTCACTCAGCACAGAGCTAAAATGAGCCTGCAAAGTGGACACACCAAGGATTTTCAGGCCTCTGGAACCAGGGTTGGCAGGTAAGCCAGGCCCAAGTTGCAGAGTATAAAAAGGGATCACTCAAGGGGTTGGAGAAATGACTCAGTGGTTAAGAGCACTGTCTGCTCTTGCAGAGGACCCAGGTTTGATTCTTAGCACCTGCATGGTGGCACTCCAGTTCCAGGGTATCCGACGCCCTCTTCTGACCTCCATGGGCATTGCATGACATGGGTGTACCTACCTACATGCAGGCATTACACTCATACACATGAACTAAGAATAGTATACCTTTTTAAAAAAAAGGTATCACTTCAAGACCATCATCACTGAACTAAGATAGGAGGTAGGAGTTTGAAAAAAAAAAAAAAAAGACTCCAAAGAAAAGTAGCCAATTTCTTGGCTAAAAGTCAAAAGGTCTTTGGCCTCTTAGCAACATACTATGTTCCAAAGGCCAAAAATGTCAAAAATATTTAGGAGCTTTTATCTAACCCCTAAAAGATTTTAGGGTTACCTGTCAGAGGGGGGTAATGTTAGAGTAGCAAAAAGCCCCATTAAAAAAGAAAGAGGAAAGAAGAAAGAAAAAGAAAGAGAACACGAAGTTGTCAGAAAAAAGTATGGGGAGATATGGGAGGTGTTGGAAGGAAGGAAGTGGGCGTGGATCTGGTCAAAACACCTTATACTCATGTATGAGATTTTCAAAAGTTTTTTTTTAAAGTTAAAAAAAAAAAAAAAAGGATCACTCCAAGACCATTGTTGAACTTTCAAAATTATGAGGATGGTTAGGGGTGTAGTTCAGTAGGAGGCCATGTTTGATCCCTAATATTACACAGAAAATAGCTTTCAAAGAAAAACATCACAGATGAAATGGCTTCAGACCTGGAGTCATTTGGAAGGCAGAAGAAAAATAAATACCCTCAATATTCAGAAGGGAAACCAATTCCTAATCTTACCCAGGGAAACAAACTCTTAAACACTCAGATCAGACATTCAGAACATAGGTCTTGAGGGTCTTCAGATGTGTACCACTAAACCTGAACTGTGTGACAGGAAATGAGACCCCTGAAGGCCCAGGGAAATCTGTGAGGACCCAGGATGCTATGCTGGACTTGTAGAAATTGAACACCCATGAGACAAACATGGCTGTGACTGATAGCCCCATTCCCATTTTTGAGACAGAGCTCATGTAACCCAGGCTGGTCTACAACTTGTGATCGGTACGTCTGCCTCAGCCTCCAAGGTGCTGAGCTCACAGCTGTTTCCACACTTGGTCCCATTCTCTCTTCTGAACATTAGGTAGTTTGAAGGTCAGCCTGACAGGTTATTCTAACTTGACTGTGTCAAGGCTCTGCCACCACTGCAGGGCTTCATTCCCTCCTTTTGAAAACTATAACTATTTATAGTAACAAGAGACTAGTTTTCACATTTTAAGTTGTTTATTGTAAGATAATTTACAAACATCTGGCAGTCTTTGTAATTCAGTGGACCAAATTTCTTCTGACAAAGACAGCAATCAGTTATAAACAAAATCAGCTTGCTTAGTTTTCCTCCTTTTACCTGAAAAACAGAATACAGAACAAGTGGAAATTAAATGGAACTTAAAGAACTAAATTTATGGAACAAAATGCCGTTGGTTCTCAGATTTCAGTCTATGGGACTTTCTATAGCGTTTCTGAGGGCAAAACTACTGTCTTAATAAAGCTGTTTTATCTTCATGCTTGCTCATAAGGACATGGTAGGGGGTTTTCCAGAGGCCAAAAGAAGCATGGCATCACAACAAAATGAGAGAGATGAAAATCTATGAAATCAGATGTTAAGGAGCTCTGAGACCATAAAGTCTGAGCACTGTCACTTTTCACTGACTCACATGTAATCTCCCATGATAAGGCTCATTCTCTACTCATATTTTATTTCCTTACATCTACATTCTCTACAACACATTTAATGTAAAATAATAATAAAAAAAAAGCCCACTGGCACTGTCCATACTTAGCATTGCCTGTCTCTAGCTTTGCCCCTATCTGACACTGTTCTGTAAGTTGGCTGCACTATATATCAGTCTGCCCATCTAGAGAAACAACTGCATTACTGCTATGTTGGTTTGGGGTATATATGGATAGGTTTGTTTGCTGAAGGCGTAGGGGAAGAGTATAGTAACTTTACCTCTTGTCTGAGGACGTAATTTGGTTTTCATCAATCCCTGGTTATTATATTAGAAGAAAAAAAGAATAAAACAAGCAGGTCAAGAAGCAATCCATGCTAGTTAGTCACACGCCATTCTTTACATTACCTTCAGTATAGCATATAAATACTTACCAAACAATGATGTGAAAAGCTACAGATTCCAATGTAGTTAGGAGCAGTAAAAACATGTTCATGCAAATATGCAAGACAACATACATTTTCCCGTTTTTTTTTTTTAAAGCACACATTGGCAATTATTTCAAACTGGCAATTTAAGATATGATTTACTCATGCTTTTCATTTTATTAGTAAATAGCTGAATTTGTATATTTGTATTAAAATTTGAACAACAATCCCTAATAGGTTACATAGGTTACAGAGCAGGCAAATCCATTCACAGAAGTAACCCAATGTTGGGACTGCACAGGTAACTTTTTAAAAAGAGATTTAATAGTAAGCTTCTAATTATTTAGATTAATTTTTCTAAATTCTCAGTTTTACGTCCCAAACTCTTCTTTTCTCATTTCCCTTGGTTTTGCTAGTTTAAGTGAGGACTCCCACATCCTACCCAAGAAAAAAAAGCCTGGTTCTCAGCTGTGCAGAATGTGCATCCTTACACACCTGTACTCAACTTCCCTTTTCTAGAAGTGAGACAGAACACAGAGTCCTTGGATCTCATTGGCCCTCAGACTGTCAGAAGACAGTTTTCCCCGTAGGCCATCTCACACTCAACATCCAAGAACACATCAGCGCCAATGAGGACAACTACCAACAAGGACCGGCGACGACTCAGCCCCGTACTACTCTCCATGCCGCAGGAAACAAAGACCCAGCTAGAGGAAACCACAACCATGTCTGCCAAGCTGGACAGCAAGGTTCATCTCTGCTGCCGTAAGGCAGTAGTGACCAGGCTGAGAGACGGGTTAGTCCTAACAAGCTATGCTCAGGAAGGAAATCGGTGAAGGCACAGCATGCGCAGGACAGCAAAGCTGATGAGGTCCAGTTGTATCCTCTATCATGTTCTGCCGGTTCAAGCAGTTTTAAGACACGGTCCCTTCCCAGGCTCAAGGACAGGGATCAATACAAAGTCAATTCCTAACAGAACAATGTAAGTGCTAAGATAAAGTGAAGCCCAGGATGCTAAAGAGATCTCACTCAAACTAAGAAGGGCAGTTTCTGGAAGAAAGGACTCCCCTAGCACCCCTGGGGAGGTAGAGAGTGACAGACAGATGGAAAGAACGGCTTTTCAGGCAGGGCCCACGCTTTACTTCCTTTGAGGTAAGAAAAGCATGATACATTTGAAGACCTGGAAAGATCAAGGTGGCTGAGGTTCAAGCAAGAGAGAAACCATAGGATCTTAAACTGCAAAGTGTGCTCATGGCCAGGAAACACAGGATCACAGATAGCAAGCTAAGCTGTTTTTGCAGGCTGATTCTGTGAAGAACCAGCTAGGCCTGTGGCCCCAAATGGTCTTTTTATAACCCTTTAAAATGAAGCTCTGGGCCAGTTTTCCACTTCTACAATTCTGTATTCTCTTATTTGTCTTCTCTGTCAAGGTAGAGAGCTCTCTGGAAACACACTGTCACCATTATTGCTTAGAACATGGCACTTAACAAAATGTATCTATTGCTAGGTACTGTGTTGCATGCCTACAATCCCGCCTACTGAGGTAGAACATTCCTAAGCTTTAGCTTAGGAATTTGAGATCAGATTGGGCAACAGAGTGTGTGCTGCATAGCTTCAGTTAACTTGATACCCCTGGGAAGCAGGAACCTCAATTGGGGAACTTCCTCCTTCGGATTGGCCTGTGGGAATGTCTGTGAGGTGATGTTGGGATGATGTGGGAGGACCCAGCTCACAGTGGGTGGAGCCACCCCTGGACAGGGGATGCTGGGTTGTATAGGAAAAAGCAAGCTGAGCACAGGCCAGAGGAGCAAGCCAGCAAGCAGTGTTCCTCCATGGACTCTAGCTTCATTTCCTGTCTCCAGGTTCTGGTTCTTACCCTGAGTCCATACTTGACTTCCCTCAGTGATGAACTGTGCCTTGCATCCATGTAGGATGATATAAACTCTTGCCTCCCAGTTGATTTCGGTCAGAAGGTTTTTATCACAGTAACACAAAGCAAACTGGGCTACAGAGACACCCCCATTTCTGGCAAAGCCTAAGCAAACCCTTTCATAATTCAGGAGAGATAATAACCTGTAGTAGATGGGCATGGAAAGGGGAAAGATTCAAGAGGCACTTTGCAGGTAAAATGACAGTCTGGTGACCAATCAGGAGGAGGTAAGATTGAATGAGTCAATCATAACACGTTACACATTTTGCCCCTCATCACAACCACTCTGGATTTTTCTCAGTCTAAGAGATCAACATCTTGAAGAACATCATGTGCTTAATACTGTGCGTACCATCATATTTTGCACATAGCAGAGTTACATAAAATCAATCCTAAAACCAATCTTGTAACTCAGAAAGCTCGGCTTATAAGGGCCTTAAGTTCCAAAGCAGACTTTGTAAGTGATACAACCATATACAGCTACTTACAGAGCAGCAGCCCCAGAGATGATTTCAATCAACTCTTTCGTGATGACAGCTTGGCGGGTACGGTTGAATGTCAAGGTCAATTTGTCAATCATCTCAGCTACAAACAAAAGAAAAGGGTAGACAACAAAATCTACAGTTAGAAAATTTCTGCTGCTTAATTGAAGAGATTCTGTTGTGTTTGGAATCCTCAAGTGGGCCTCAAGCCAAGAAGAATTTTATGAAGTTATGTTTAATTTCCACAGGCTGCTTTCAGAGTGCTTGCAAATCTTCTGCCTATCATTCAAGTAAGACACACTTCCCCCAAAGGCAAAGAATATTCTGTTAAGGTCTTTTATGCCACTGGAAGTGTGGGCTCTTGGTGTTCCCCGGAGCTCTGCCTACATCCATTTCCCAGTGTGTGCTGTGGCTAGCACATCCTCCAGCACTCCCCCGGTCCTGTGCTTACATGCGTTCTTGCTGGCGTTGTCCATGGCCGTCATCCTGGCACTCTGCTCACTGGTGGTGGACTCCTTCAGGGAGTAGTAGATAAGGTTGGCCAGACTGTATTCCTGGTAATTCTGTAGCACATCAGCATCCAAGTCATCATAGATGCTCATGCTGTCTGTGAGAACAAGCCAAGAATTTCTTTGAAGAATATAGGCGAACATGGAGTCATCAAAAATAGCTTACTAATATAAATATGTTATAACCACAAGTCATCTTAAGTTAATTTGTTAAATTTCATCTATTTCCACACAACCAATGATAGCATATTATCAATAAAATATAATGTATAAACAAAGCATTTGGCATTTTCTCTCTGAAATTTAAAATTACCAAATTTCATGCTTCTTAAGTCCTCTGAGGGGCTGGCAAGATAGCTCAGTGATTAAGAGCACTGGCTGCTCTTGCAGAGGACCCAGGTTCGATTCCCAGCACTCACATGGTGGCTATGAACCGTCCTTAACTCCAGTTCCAGGGGAATCCGAAGCCCTCTTGTGACCTCCGGGGCATTGCACGACACGGGTGCACTCACATACATGCAGGCAATACACTCATACACATAAAACAAAAAAATATATTTTAAAAAGTCCTCTGAATATCACCAGGAAAGTGTTTGTAACAAATACAGCACTTAATAAGAATGATTTCTTTCCAATTAAAAAAATTAAAGAAAATGAATTATTAGACAAACATGAATGTGTCGCTCTGGCGGAATGAGAAAATGCCTTTCCAAGCAAAGGTAAGGAAGACTGGGAGACTGGACACCGACGGGAAGTTTGACTTTAATGTGGAAAGTTCCCAGCTCATTTCAAAGTCATTCGTTTGGCTAACGTGGTGAAACAGCGCTGCATTTCACCGAATTTCAGACAGTCCTGATTTCGATTCCTGGTCTGTGTATCTGAGCTGGGCATGGCAGTGCACACCTTTAATCCTATTTTGTGTATCACTGCAAAAGAAAAAACTATACTGGGTGTGGTGTACAGAGAGTGGAAGCAGGAAGTTGTGTGTCTGACCCAGCTTGGGCTACATAATACAGCAAGACTATCTTTTTTGTTTGGTTTTTTTGAGACAGGGTCTCCTGAAGCCCCAGCTAGCCTAGAACTCACTATGTAGACCAGGCTGGCCTTGAATTCAAGAGAGATCTGCCTGCCTCTACCTTCTGAGTGTGTCACCACGCCTGGCTTAAAACTCTGTCTTAAAGGGAAAAAAAATACAAATATATACAATCCTAAAAAAACGAAAAACAAAAACAAAAACCCCAAAACTCCACAACTCAAAATAGAATACAAAGAAGAAAGAACAAAAATAAAGCCAGTTCCAGAATACTATTTCTAAGATGCTTCACTGAACAAAGATGACTTATCTAACAGTAAGACAACAGAGTTCAGTAAAAAACATGTCCATCAGTTATGAAAATTTCAAACCTCGATTCTAGACTTTCTGAGTGCATGGTCACTGATGGCAAACAGAATGTTACATTAACTGCCAGCAAGGCAGTTGCATCCGCAACAGACATCTGTTCAATTAAGGGACGGCATAGAAGCTGTCAACAACTGGATTAAGACATTATGGAAGTTATTAATGTGTGATGCTACTTAAAAACAGCCCAACCCACGGGGGCTAGAGAGATGGCTCAGCAGTTAAAAATACTTGCTGTGGGTTCAATACCTAATACACATGGTGGGTAACAACCGTCTATAACTCTAGTTCCAGGGAATCTGACATGCTCTTCTGGCCTCTGTGGGCATTATACGCACGTGGTGTACTTACAGACATGCAGGCAAGACACTTATACACAAGAAATAAAAAACAAAACAAACAACAAAAACCACAGGCCGGGTATGGTGGCTCACAGGCTCTAGGAGGCAGAGGCAGACACATGTCTGCGAGTTCAAGGCCAGCCTGGTTTACAAAAAAAGTTCCAGGTCAGCATGGGCTACAGGGCGACCCTGTCTCAAAAAAGAGGTGTGTGTGTGTGGGGGGAATCCAAACCACTAATAAACCAAAAATCCAACCAAAACACAGCTCAATTCTGGAGAAGTGGTGCAGAGCTATAATCCTAGCCACCTGGGAGGCTGAGGTAGGAGGATGAACATCTGAGGCCAGCCTGGGCTACAGAGTGAGACTCCATTTCAGACATTAATAATAACAAATAGCCCCCAAATCATTCTGTGCATCTATGACAGGACATCCTTCTTACTGCACTGATTTCCTAGATGGACAAATCTCCCCATTCTATACCCCAAACACTCGTCACAGAAAGGTACTCACCAGCAGATGCGATGGTATTGAGAGAAAAGATGGGCTTCTCCTTGGTCTTATAGGAGATAACAGATCTGGAAATGACAGAAGCATGAATATGAAAATAAGACATTCAAAATCACGAACACGAAAGAGTGCTGAATTCTAAATTTTCTTACTTGAACTCATTAAAAATGATAGAGCCTTCATCAAACTCATATCCAGAATTTAATAATTCAAGGGCGATGACTGACGCATCTCCAAAAGTAGGGGGCTTTCGCCCCACGTCTTTGAATGACACCAGAAACTGGTCAGAATGAGTCCTATAGAAAACACAAAATAGGTTAATGGAATACTTGTGTTGAGAGAAATTAGCAAACAAGGAAGGAAGTTATTATCGGGAATCAAGTTCTTTTGGGGGAAGGGATGTAGGTGGAGGCAGGTGCCTGAGCGAAGCTGTTCCATTCATCATTACGATTATTCATTTAGCAGCATCTGCAAAGAGCTGAGAACTAAACTGAGACACACATCTATTTACCTATAGAGTATGCCCCTGATTTTGTCACCAATTCCAACAAGCATAACTTCTTTTCCAGCTGCAGTGAGCGAAGCCACCTCATTCTTCATCTGTTTAGCCACCGAGGAATGAATAGCACCACAAAGCCCTCGATCCGAGGACACACCAATGAGGAGGTGTTTCTTCTTGTCCTCAGGTCCCTTAATGTTAGCCTTTTCATACAGTGCTAAAAAACAAAAAAGGGAAAGAGCACTGAAAGGAAAACTGTATTACATGTAGCAGTACTCTCTAAAGCAGTGGGCTGCTTTCACACTAGGCACTTTCATTTAGGTGCTTTTGACTAATATACTCAAAGGTACTTGCGGACTATTTACAAACAGGGTGGAAACCACAAAGGTTACCATATTAATGATCATTAGCAGCTATATATATATATTTTTTTGAGACAGGGATTTCTGAGCAGCTGCAGCTGGTCTGGAATTCACAGACCAGGTTGGCCTCAACTGCACATAGGTCCTCTACCTCCACCTCCTGAGTGTTGGGATTACAGGTATGTGCCATGACACCTGGCTAATGGTCAACTGAAAAAAAAATTATGCCTAAAAGAAATCCCTAGAGATAACCAAACAGAAGACAGAATATAAAAGTACCTTGTGCTGGCTAGCTTTAGTGTCAACTTGACACATCTGGGTTGAGGGGGCCTCAATCGGGGAATTGCCTCTATTGGACTGGCCTGTGGCCATGTCTGAAGGGCATCTTCTTGATGAGTGATGTGGGAGGGCCCAGCCCACTATGGGTGGTGCCACCCCTAGGCAGGTGGGCCTGTGTTGCATAAGAAAGCAGGCTGAGCAGGGGCCAAGGGAGCAAGCTAGTAAGCAGCGTTCCTCCATGATCTGTACTCCAGCTCCTGCTTCCAGGTTCCTGCCCTGAGTTCCTAACTTGGGCTCCCTGATGAACTACAACCTGAGAGATCTAAGCTGAATAAACCCTTTCCTCCCCAACTTGGTATTGGTCAGAGTATTTTGTCACAGCAATGAAGAAACAAACTAGGACATACCTACTTAGCTAGACACCAGATTTCTAGATGATGGAAACTTCAAACATACAAGTAAAAAAGTAGGAAACAAATATTTGCTGAGCTTCTCATGTAATCCATACATCAAATTCTTGTTTTTTTTTTATTTATTTTTTATTTTTTTTAAAATTTTTTCTTTTCATGTATGGGATTTAATGGTGGTGTGGGGACAGGAAGGAATTTTTTTTTTTTTTTTTTTAAAAAAAAAAAATTAAAGGGAGGGCAGGAATTCTCATCTTTTTATTCCACCATTCTACTTTCAACATATAACAAGCAACAATGCCAGACAGGCGATACCTTCTTTTGAGTTGTTGGCCAGGGTGGCCAAAGGGATTCCCAGATAGTAACCTAGCATAGAACTGGGAAAATGAACAGCAGACCCCAGACAACTGATTACCATTAGACAAGGAACAGCTGATCCTCCTAAAACAAAGACCTCTAGATAGGCTGACTAGATTCACCAGAAGGGCAAGTAGTGGGGAATGGCTGGGGGGGGGGGACAAAAAACAAAAACAAACAAACAAACAAAAACTGTTTCTATTGGACTGGAGAGATGGCTCAGCGGTTAAGACCACTGGCTGCTCTTGCAGAGGACCTGGGTTCAAGTCCCAACACCCACATGGCAGCTAACAACTGTCTGTAACTCCAGTTCCAGGGGCTCTGACACTCTCTTCTGACCTCCGCAGGCACTGCACAACATGGGTGTACCCACCTACATGCAAGCAATACACCCATACGCATTAAATAAAAATAAGTAAAATTAAACAACAACAACAACAACAAAAACTGTTCCTATTGATGGAGCTGGAGAGATGGCTCACCAGTTAAAAGAACTGGCTGCCCTTGCAGAAGACCCAGGTTTGAGTCCCAGCATCCACATGGTGGCTAACAACTGTCTATAACTTCAGTTCTAGGGGATCCAAAGCCCTCTTCTGACCTCCTTGGGCATTACATGACAGGAGTGCAGGCAATACACTCAAACACATAAAGTAAATTAAAAAAACAAACAAAACAAAAAACTGTTGCTATTGAAATAATGGATGCCAATTTATTTTTGACATTAGTTCACCAACGTTCCTGGCCTGGCTTTCTAAGACGCAGAGGCAAAGAAAAAATTACATGGGGTTAGAGATACCTGAATCTTACTGGATAAAATGCCTGTGAGAGGAAACAGGAAGAAGTTGAGAGGCCAAAGGGCTATGAGACCATGATATAAGGTTGGGAGGAAGAAAGGTTTGGTAGCAACTTCTAGATCCTCACTTTGCCTTAGCACCCACCTGTGCTCAGTCACTGGCTAACCCTTGGAAAACAAGGCCTGGCCAAATCTCAAGGGCAGCTTTCAAGAGTTGGGTACTGCAGGATTGCAAGGTATATCTTCACACCTACTGTAGTCACCCACTTTAAGAAAACCATTTCTTTTTCACCATGTAGGATGGCAAACCTCACATTTTATAAGCTAACTGTGCTCTCTGGAAAGCAGAAACACTAAACTCAAAGTTCAGGGAGTGGAGAACACATATGTCTTTTTTTTATTGCACAGCATAAAACTCCTGTCCCCAAAATTTCAAGACTTAAAATTATGATCCATTTAGTATTTAACAGTTTAAAGGACTTAGAAGCTAACTGGAAGCTGTTGTCGTTCTCATCACAAATACTCGAATCAGATATCTAAGGCATTTTCTCTTTTATTATGTGAAAAATGTTTTGCTTATAAACTTGAGAGGGGGAATTCTTTGTTTAACAAGAAAAGCAACTAGTTAGGTGACTTTCACACAAATAAGCTAGAAGGTACTTCTTTTAAGGAGTTCCTTTCTTTCTGAAATTTAACCTAGCTTCAGTTTTTGATTTGACAAAATAGTAAGAAAATTCAGTATTTAAGACTGTAGGGCCAGGAGTACAGCTCAATTGCTTGTTCTAGTCTAGTCTAAGGAGAGGACCTGGGCACCATCCTGAGGAGACGAAATGATTTTTTTATGTATGAGTGTATTGCCTGCATGTATGTAAGCGCACCCATGTCATACAATGTCCATGGAGGTCAGAAGAGGGCATTGGATCCCCTAGAACTGGAGTTACGGACAGTTGTTAGCTGCCACGTGGGTACTGGGAACTGAACCTGGAGCATCTGCAAGAGCAGCCAGTGCTCTTAACCACTGAGCCATCTCTACAGCCTTGAGATATAATTACTGAGTGCCCACCATGGCACACATTTCATGTAAGTTAGGTATCCAAGAATATAAAATTAAACAAGATATAGTCCTATATATAATCCCTACTCTAACCGAGATTTTCCTGCTAACCAACCAATGAACCAACCAAGGAACAACTGCTAGGACTTAAGGGAGATGGTAACGACAGCATCTGTTTAGTGACAGCATTAAATTTTTTTATTACATCTATCTAGTGTATGTGCGCGTGCCGCGCGCGCGTGTGTGTGTGTGTGTGTGTGTGTGTGTGTGTGCATGTGCCCATGTGTGCCAGTGTATATCTGGAGGTAAGAGGACACCTCGTGGGAGTTGGTTCTTTCTACCTTGTGCATCGTGGGGATTGAAGTAAGGTTGTCAGGCTTGGTGGCATGTGCCTTTATTAGCTGAGCCATCTTCCTGGCCCTAAATGTGGCATTTAAAAAGCCGTATCATTTGATGCCCGTGCTCTATCATTTCTTCATTTAAAATTTCCTTTAGCATTCTAAATGGATATTTAAAAAGATTTGGAAGAGTAAGAAAACTAGTAATAGGCAACACTACATCTACTGCATAAGTATGCTATTATATAATACACAGGTAAGTGACACATTATCTTTAACTTGTAAATAAATTTTGCTTTTGAAGTTGATGTGTGGATTCTGCTAAGATTCATCTTATTTATTTATTTATTTATCATTTATTGTCTTTTTGAGACAGGGTCTCCCCGTAGCCCCAGCTGTCATGGAACTCACTATGTAGACCAGGCTAGCCTTGAATTCACAGAGATCCGCCTGCCTCTGCCTCCCGAGTGCTGGAACTACAGGCGTGCGCCACCACGCCCGGCTAAGATTCATCTTCTTTAAGTCCTCATTCACTTGTATGTTTATGAATGCACACTGCTCTAGGGGCTAGGGGACATAAGTGATAAAAAACAAGGACTCAATGTGTCTGTCAGGTCATAGCTGTTAGGTTACATAAATATACTTGTACACACACACACACACACACACACACACACACACACACAGAGATTACATACACAGAGATATACTTGAATATTCACACATGACAGTGGTGGAGCTGGGCGGCGAAGAGTCCTTAAAGATAGCATAAGCGGTTTGCATGGCCTGAGACACTGTTATTAAACCCTGGCCCAGCCTTCACAATAAAGCTTTAACCAACAGGCAGCCATAAGAACAATCATGGACCCTAAGCAGCCTCAGAGCAGTGAAACATGAGGAAACTGTAGCTGTATCTAGCTGACCATGCTTCCTGTCAGAATGCTCCTCTGTGCATCAACATCCTTGAGGCTGGAGACAGGTGGTTTCTCCCGGACCAGAACATTCCTCACATATACACACTAATAAAAAAGGCTTGTGTTCTCAAGGGACGTTGGCCACATTGAAACATCATGTACACTGTGGTTTGATTCAACCACTTTATGGACTTTTCTCAAAGGCGGCATTCTTCCTTTGGGATCCCTCCCACTTTCACGAGTTTTCCCCACTTTCCCTTAAGAAATCTACCATTGCTCTGCTAAAGAACAAAACAAAAACCACAAACCAAAACAACAAAAAATATAAAAACCAAAAGGAAAATCTAGTCCATGATGGTTTAGGGAAGAAAAAGGAGTTACCTTACCTCATGAATATGCCACCACCTCAAAAATGTTCATAAAAATCTCTTTACAAAGCTGGGCATGGTGGCACATGCCTTTAATCTTAGCACTTGGGAGTCTACTAGGGAGGCAGAAGCAGTCAGATCCCTGTGAGTTCAAGGCCAGCCTGGTCTACAGAGTGAGTTCCAGGCCAGCTGGGGCTACAGGGAGACCCTGTCTCAAAAAGACAAAAACAAAACAAAACAAAACAAAACCTTCTTACAATCCCCAGTACAGAAGCTATTGTGCTACTGCCCCGCGGAACAGCGGAACAGTCCACTCCAGCCTCTCTGCGGGTGCTCACTTTGCCGAATCAACTTCTGCCTATACTCTGTGTCTCTTCACTCAATCTTTTCCTTCAAGATACAAAACAAGAAACCTCCTTAACATAATGACATGAGAGAAGGAAACTTCAGGAAGTGATACAGAAGTGCCATTGGGGATGAGATGCTTTGAGGCCAGTCAAGAAGGCATGTGAGTGGAAACCACCACGATGCAGAACAGCGGAAGGAATCAGCAGTCATGAACTCAATGAGGTGCAGTAGGAAGAACCACTGAGGGCCATTACCCAGCAACCACACTCTAACTGAAGAGATGGACAACACTGGACAGAACGAATTCACCCACAACTTAATTATCCAGCCATGGGGAGGGGAGATGGAGGGAACAAGAGCAGAAGCAGGAGGACCAGCTGGAAACTTACATCACAGAGCCACAGGCACTAACTTATGTAAAATGGAAATACTCAGGGAAGAGGAAGAGCCTAAAACTTAAAACACGGCCTCGAGCTGAGATTTAGGTTAAATGGTAGATAACCTACTGCATTTTCTACTCTCACATTTCTTTATAGTAAGAAAAATCAAGAATAGATTACATCAAGTTACAATCAACTCTTCACTCCACTGCACTGCCCTCCCACCGTACATCCCCACCCTGTTGTCCTAACAGTATAACAGTACAGGTGACGGGATGAAATCAAACATTTTGTCTAATGCGCCATGTTTCCCAGGCTTTTTTGAGTCACATACATCAGTTAACAAACAGGCTTTGGTGGCACAACAAACGCAACAGAAAGTATTGTTCATTTATGTGACCCTGGCAAGTACCTTGACTCTGATGTGTGGGACTATGTGTGTCAAGTGCACATACATGCAAACACAAATACACGAAGGGTGCTCAGCACAGGCCTGGTTCTATGGTCGGCACTGGGTAAGTTATCTGTATACCTTCTTTGTGTGAAACAGTCCTTCCTAATGTGTGAGCTACATTCTCTTACCCCACGATCCTATGCCATACACTCGAGCTGGTTTCAGCTCCCGCTCAGCTCGGGCGTATTTTGCCGCTGCTACCATTTTCATAGACTTCGTAATTTTTTGGATGTTTTTGATGGACTTCAGTCGCCTGGTGACTGAAAAATTGAAGCGCTAGGTTAGTCAAACGAGTTACAGTTTTGTGAATTCAGAGAAAAACCTTTCCAAGGGCAAGACAGAAAAACTAGCAGACCATCAATAAGCACCAGGATGCTGAGCTAGTAAAACCTGAAACCTGACAATAAAACTGGTCTTATTTACGTATTCCATATCATTTTTAATTGTTTTACACAAACACACCAAGTATATAGTTTTTCTACTTACAGCCTTTTTCTTCCGATAATAAAGACAAAATATTCTCATGAGTCATCTTAACACTATCTTAAAAAATCCAATGCACGCAATGTAAACTAATTTTGTCAAGTATGAAAAACACACAACGGGCCAGAGTGGCTTATATACATTTTTCTAAACTTTCACATGCATGAGGTCAAAGAACAACTTGTGGAGGTTGGTTCTCTCTTTCCACCATGTGGGTCCCAGCACCTTTACCTGCTGCTGAGCCATCTTGCAACCCAAATGGAATGTTTTAAAAAGTATTTCTATTTGTCAAAATTTAGTTTGTTTTAATTTACATATTGAGACAAACAACATACTTACTATCTTTCAAAGTTGCCATGTTTCGAACTTGGATCCTGAGGATAAAAAAATTCATAAAGATTTTAGTTTTTGTTTTTTGTAAAAATTTTATTATTTTTATTTTATGAGTGTATTGCCCGCATGTATGTGAGTGTACCCATACTGTGCAATGCCACAGAGGTCAGAAGAGGGCGTCGGATTCCCCTGGAACTGGAGTTAAGGAAGGTTCATACCCATCATGTGGGTGCTGGGAATTGAACCCGGGTCCTCTGCAAGAGCAGTCAGGGCTCTTAATGGCTGAGTCATTGCCCCAGCCCAAGTTTTTTTTTTTTTTTTTTTTCATTTAAAGTAGCTTTTTAAAGAATTTTTGGAGTTAATGCTTAAATACACCATAAAACAATTGATCAAATGTAGGACTCTGAATATCTAATAGAATTGTTTACATATTTATATTCCAGTTCAAATACCCTACAATCCTAACTCTCAGCACAGCCCTCCCATTGAAGATTCGATGGCACTCAGTAACACCTACCTCCACTTCCAAGTATCTGTGTTATTTTCAAGATAGTAAAGTTCTTCCCTTTGTGAGGCTGTCTAACATAACTAAAACCCAAGTTTAAACTGAAAACACAAGCTGACTTCCATGGTGCACAGCAACCTTTAAAAATACCTCATGTTGCCTGGCATGGTGGTACACACCTTTAATCCCAAGACTTGGGAGGCAGAGGCAGAGGCAGGTGGATTGCTCTGAGTTCAAGGCCAGCCGACTGGAACTACAGGGAGATCCTGTCTCAGAAAGACCAAATTTTTTTTTTTCTTCACATCAGTCACATCAACTGACCCCATGTATTGATGCACAGTTACTTTATATTTATTCTTTTGGTCTTTTTGAGAAAGGGTCTCCCTGTAGCCCCAGCTGGCCTGGAACTCAGAGATCCACCTGCCTTTGCCTCCCGAGTGCTGGGATTAAAGGCGCACGCCACCATGCCTGGCCGATAGTTTTATTTAAAAAAATTTTCATATTCTAATGATTTCCTGCTCTGCTATAAAATTACCAAATACAGTTAAAACAAATATATCTAAAGATAATACTAGAAATGCTACATAGAGCACTAAAATAAAGCCTTCTTATTTCTATAAAAATATTTTGTTTGTAATGCATTCTGATCATTCTGCCCTTATCCTCTCCTGCTCCTTTCCCACTCTTGCTGATTCCCTCCCTCCTCCAACTTCCAAAGAGTTTAGTCACAGTCACTTACAGGAGCAGGGCGGCGGGTTACCTGTGGAAACACTGGCCACGTCGACAGCTGTACGGTGGAAGAAAATCTCTCTCCTTCCCAAGCCCAACTCCGCTGCCAAGAGACCCTCCGGGAGGCGGGGCCTTGGACCTCCCCCTCCCCAACAGCCTGTCTTTCATTGGTAATCACAGCTGCTGAAGGATCCAAGAGTGATGTCGTGCCCAGAAGATAGCCTCCTACCACACTCTGCTTGATACCTGGCCCTTACACTCCTCTTTGGAGATGCTCCCTGAGTCATGGAGGGGGTAGTAGGGATGTGATGATCCCTTTGGGCATGCTATAGTTTTAAAAATTCTCAGCATCCTGTCCAGTTGTATGAGTCTGTGGTTAACTGCTCCACTGCAAGAAGCTTCCCTGAGCAAAGCTGGCAGCAGCACGAATCTATAGAGAAGCACCCAGATATTTAAAGGCAATTTGCCAGGGGTATCATACCCATTTAGCACAGCAGAAGCTTTTCCGCTGGGCCCTATGACCTCCCTAGCCACAGGCTTTTGACCAGGTTTATAGTACCAGAGGTGAATCCCCTCCTGTGGATTGGGTCTCAAATCCGATCAGAAAGCAGATGGTTAATGGAAAAATGTCTATCAGACCACAATCAGTTTTCCAATGGCAACAGGCATTGTTGTGAAGTGAGTTGGAATACTGATGTACATGGAGACATGGTGGCTACATGCTGCATTCAAGATACAGAAAGAAATTATGTTGTCTAGGGATATCTACATGGAGACATAGTGGCTACCTGAAATGTAATGTGGCAAATCAACGAGACTAGACACGAGTGCAAATCCTCAGGACAGAGAAACAGTAAGACTGATCCCAAGGGTTTGAATTCAATGACCTGAGTGGGCCTTATTATCATAACCAATAGAGAAACAATAGGGTAGGGGTACACTCCTGGGAGGTATTGAATGCTGAGTGAGACACAGCCAGAAAGAGTAGGAGCTAGGTGGACATGTCTAGGGGGAAAAAGTTATGAGAGTGCAGATACAAAAATTGAAGACCATCAGTCAGTAGAGATGGTAGATGACACTAAGAACCATAACCAACCTAAAACCAACCAAAGAAACCAAATAAAAACACAGTCAACAATGACAGGTAAAATTAGAGGCAGAGGGAAAAACTTTCTAATTCTACAAAGCAAGTATTAACCCAATACTGAAACTAGATAAATGCATAAGAAATAAATACTAAGAGACCAACACTCCCCGGCATGGCAGTGTACACCTTTAGTCCCGGCAGTTGGGAGGCAGAGGCAGGTGAAGCTCTGTGAGTTCAAGGCTAGCCTGGTCTACATAGCAAGTTCTAGGCCTGCTGGGGCTACAGGAAGACTCTGTCTCAAAAAGGTAAAAAAAAAAACTAAAAAAACCAAAAAACCCCAACATCTTTCATGAACAAAGATGTAAAAATTCTCAACAAAATGTATATTAGCAACTTAAACCCAACAGCAATATTAAGAACTCTATACCATGACTGGGTGGGACTTTATGGCAGGAAGGCAATGCCCATTTAAAGTTTTTTTAAAAAAAAAATTGCCACACCAACAGTTTAAGAGGAAAAATCATACTACCAACAGGGGAGAAGAAGCAACAAATTGAATCTTACACTGATTCACAACAGTCTAAGTAAACATGGAGCAGACAACCTCCTCAACCTGACAGTGAACATTTATGCACACCTGATTCAATGATGTCAGGCTTAAGCTCTTCCCTCAAGATGGGATGAAACAAGATGTCCTCCCCTCTCACTACTATTGTTCAACACAGAAGTCACAACTAATGTGCAAAGCCAAGAAAAAAGAAAAAATTACCTAGAGATGGCACAATGATGGTCTATGTGTAAATTCTCAAAGAATCGGGAGTGGGGCGGATAAATCTTTGGGTCTGAGGAGATGCTTAGAGGGTAGGAGCTCTTGCTGTCAAGCATGAGGGCCTGAGTTTGAATCTCTATCACCTATATAAAATGCTTACTGTGGGGCTAGAGAGAGTGGTCAGCAGTTAAAGAGCACTGACTGCTCTTACAGAGGACTCAGGTTTGGTTCCCAGCACCCACATGGCAGCTAACAACCATTTGTTAACTCCAGTTCCAGGGGAGCTGACACCCTCTTCTGACCTCTGTGAGCAATGCACAGCAAGGGTGCATTTACATGCATGTAGGCATTATACTCATATGCCTAAAATAACAAATGGCTGCTAGCATTTGCAACCCCAGCACCATGAGGGGTAGAGACAGGAGGATCACAAATCCTAGAACCAATAAACAGTTACAGCAAGGTTGCAGGACATAAGGTGAATGTACATAAAAGCAAACTTTTTCAACCATGTGGTTTGGTTCAGGTCCCTTTTTGGATACCTAAATCCTTGGTGCCAACTCTTACATGAAATAGCATAATGTGTTCCAACTTTAGATGTAAAAACCAGAAATAAGAAGGGCCAATTACTACCAGCTACAAACAACTGGATTTTGAAGTTAAGAAAAGATTGTAAAACTTCATAGTTAAAGCATAGCCAGGTGTGCTGGTGCATGCTTTTAGTCCCACTACTTGGGAGGCAGAGGCAGGTGGATCTCTGTGAGTTCCAGGCTAGTCTGGTCTACATAGTGAGTTCCAGGCCAGCTGGGGCTATAGGGGGATCCTGATCCTGTCTCAAAAAGAC